ACAAAAGATATTGTCTTGTTTAAGTGAGGGCTATGTAAAGTTTCCATAAGATAGAAGAGGCATCTAAGGCATTTCGTTAGAACTCATTTCTACGTATCGTAATGTATTTAGATATATTTCAGAAAAACGTTGAGTCAAACGAGCAAATAGCCCTCTTTCATAAGCGGTGAGTTGTCACAATTTTTGAGGAATGTGCGTCGTTTGGACCTTTAAAATCACCATTAAAACTAATTGGAATTCATCTCAACGGAAAATATGTTGGTTATTAGTGTTTCCACCTAAATATCATCGATATTGTCCGAAACGTAATGAAGTAGTGTATCTCAATGTAGGGAAACCGTGGTGCCGACCCTGAAGCCGGTAGTCACCTAACAGCAAAATGCACTCGTTTCTATTATCTGATTGCGGTAAGTCAGTCATTCAAAGCTGTTTAAATATACCTCCACATTTTGCGACGTTGTAACGTCCAACATGGAACCGATAAGCAGAGTCCAATCGATATAGTTTCTCCCGAGGGACGCGCAGAACACAATGAGCGTACACTTCGTTACCTTGGCACCACGTAACTACAGCGTCAAAGCCACATAAACACGACACAGGGTAACATCAATTAATCATATATGAAACCTACATGAAGCAATACTGGGATGTTTAGGCGGTAACCTTTAAGAAAGTTTGTGTTTTAAGATTGACATTTTAGTCTCCTGTGAAAATCGCGATTGACTAAACATATTTCACTGGATGAAAACATACTTTGCTTGATTTGGGCATGAAGGACGTCTTGAGGTCCAGTATAAGATGATAATATGTGTGTTAAACTTTAGACCATTGTCAACTGGTATTTCATAATGGGTTTAGATACTGATTGCAAATTGGTATGGTATTTCCCCTCTGGTAACACTTTCTAGCCAGCAGTGCCTGTACCTGTGTGTGTGTATACATTTCTGTTTGAGTGTGTTTGTGTGTGCACGCGCGTGTGTGTATGTGTTGTTGTTTTACACAGAGCTCATTTACGTTTCTGACAATAATCGAGACTGGATCGGAACATCTAGTGATTAACATTGTCAGCAACAGTCCACAGAAAATATGACTCACTCACAGCCTAGGACGTGGTTTCAAGCAAAGCCATGAATACCACATGGTTTTACGTTGTGAACAAGAGCCGAACACATCACATTCCAAGTCTTTTATTTGCTTACATAAATCAACAGTTCAACACAGGGTACATGGTGGTAAACATCAGATATCTTGCTATCATATATTTTTACAAGTATCACAGACAGGTTCAAATGAACGTATGTGTCTCTGGCACACACATTGCAGACTCCATGTCATTAGAACATGCACTATACACACATCATTAATACAATGTTTTCACTGTCGCGATGCAATATAGTGGTTGTATGCATATTAAGAGCGGTGCGAGATTCTGGGTGACATACCACGCTTTAGATCATGCTTTACATTTATGTGGGTTCCTTTTACAATGAAACCATAAACAATTGTTTCAAAGGTTGAAGTTGAAAGATAATTTGACTTTTCATTTGTGTGGGCGTAACATGTCTGTTCGAAAATCTACATTTTATATCAGAGAACACGTACTGAACGTACTTTCGTGAGGGTCTATACCTCATGAAGCCAATAGTTTTGACACGTGATCAAAGCAACCACAGGAAACAAAAGTTGAAAAACCATTACATCATTAACTGTATGTGGCTTATAATAATAAAATTATTTATATGTATGTACAAAGCAAACATTCTCGGTGTGAAGAATCAAAGTCATTACACACAAGCGCCTTTGTGTACATAGCGCTGGAACCCGTTATAAGGCACAGTCGTGGTGTGGGTAAGGTGTGAAAATGAACCGAAGTGACTGCAACGGATATGTACAATAACGTTATATATCTATAGTTCACAAAATATAATATATCTACAGACAATTGTCTCTCTATATAGACATTCGCTGATACGTTTACCGCAATACTTTGCGATGTATCATTGTAGCCGGAATCATATGTATACAACCAAAAAAAAACTGCTTACACTGGTACATCGATTACATGACAGATATCATGACATGTTCGTCTAGTCTGTTGGTTTCATCTTTAACGCGGCAGTATTCCAGCGATATGTGGCCTTTAAACACTGGACAGGACTCTGTGATTATATGAACATCAATCCTCGATTCATCGTTTACAATCCAAGCTTGGCCCAATCCAATGTGTCGCCTTTTACCACTGCCATAGAATGTTGGGACCATTTCCAAATTGTAAACGAGTCATTCTCAAAACTCGTGCATATTTATGTTATATGTTTGTCAAACAAACATAAGTCAAAGTCAGTATTTTTTTATGGTAACCAATTTATCTCAGTTTATTCTATACTTTACAGTAAAAAAATGGGAAAACATATCTTTATATTTATTTTAAACACCCAAAACAACACAACTCCAGTGGCCGATGTGCAATTTGATTTTTGTTGTTGTATATTTCATGGTTTTCAAAAGAAATGACTTAACATATGATAATTAATGATGTTACAGCTACATGCTTGGCTTGGTTTGGCCTTTTTTGTATGGAAAATTATTTTGCAGTCACAATGCCACTGCCGTAACATGCAGTCTTTACCCGTTTTATGCAAGACAGGGACATCCATAAGTAAATATTTTGCTTATTAAATATTCTTCAAGCATTCTGAAATATCTGACTGACAAATTCCATTAAATTATCTTTTAAAGTAAACATAAAAACTGGCTTTAATAAGAATGATACTACCGTTAATGCCAATGTCCATACAATAACATTATCATTTTTCTTATCTAACTAAAATTTATTTATCTGTTTGTGTTTGGATTTTATAGTGCATGTATGTTTGGTAGTAGAGCTTCAAGTAAGCATAATACAATTCATATTCTCATTTTGGATTTTTGCTTCATATTACGTTATATTTGCAAATCAGAAAAGAAAGGAATTGTTGGCCCTCTAAGCAATGAATATAAATTTTCAAAACTCATTAGCAATGTTTTGTTGTAAAACTACATATCTACATTTAATGAAGATCATCTTTGGATTATTTTGTTCAAAATGATGTTCAAATTTCGTAACGGTAGTGACGCAATTTCGTGAAATTTCTAATAAAGGATAAAATATGAAAATTAAAACGTCGTTAAGTTTGCATAAATTATGTTTTGGATATTCAGAATACTATGAACATAATCAACAACATTTCAAGGTAAAAGAAGAAAACGAAATTTCAATTTTGCCTACATGAAATATGCACGAATTTTGAGATTGACTCAATCCTTAAAGGGCCATTTTATCATGGACAAAGTCGGGGATGTATGCTAAAAAAGGACATCCAAAGGCATTACGCAACTCGAAACACACCGCGACAAATACAAGAATGCGTGGATGATTACAAGCATATTTACAGCTGTGGGTCTGCATTTAGATACATTTACATTTTAAGGGAGGTAGTTTTAAATTGGAAAGTAGTAAGGGATCGCTCTGCACTCCGTTGCTAATTAAAACTTTATCATGGCAGCATGTTTAGGCATAATATCTTAATAATAATAATGGGCGTATAATTTATAGCACTTGATATTCTTCAAAGTAAGTGAACAATATTCAGATACAACTTCTGTTGACCATAATCTTTATAATTTCCTTTTTAACGTAGTGTGCATTCATAGCCATGTTTTCACCATTGTTGATGCACAGTGGCATTTCAGTAACAAAGGTGATTATGAAAGACCGTCATGAATGTTGGCTAAAGAATGTTGCAGTTCCACTACCGTCACATCTATCTGTTGTGAATAATACGAGCCCTGTCATAAATGTGGTCTGCACTGCTACAAATCTACAATGATTTAACGCATCATCGTAGTTACGTAGCATCCTGTTAAATGCACAGACCTAGATGCACTTTAAACACAAAGCCTCACCAGCAGACATCCTAAACTGTTATGTCCATGTAGAATTTCATGCCCATCATAAATATAAATATTCGTTTTGTAATTGCGATTATTTAACCGGTACCGTCCCAATGGCTGACCTATAATGCCCAGGGCTCTTAAAATCATGACAAGTTATAATTTTGATTTTGAGAGATGTCCTATTGTTGTGTCCTATTGTTTTGTTGGAGGGTACTGTCGAAGGGGTAACTTTGTACCTGACTGTAGGCTGGAGGAGGTGCATTGTACATTGGGGGTGGGGCGCTGTACAATGGAGCCTGGGGCACGTAGCCTGGGTCCCAGGGTGCAGAATGCATTGGTTGCGGCGGTTGCGGGTGGCGCGCATCGCTGGTGCAGGCTGAGGGTACATCACCTGCTTGACCATATGCAGGGGGTTGATACATAGGCGGGTAACTCTGACGGGGTGGGCCCATCATTGCACCTGAAACGAGGAATTAGGTCTGCGGTGAATATGCTTGTATAGGCATTTCTACCGGCATCATGAACTCAAGACAAAGAATGTACATTCTAGTGAATATGGTGTAACGGCGCTATTAAAGAAATTTAAAATTACACCGTTGTTTGATATGTGGCAGACAAGGTGTGTTGAAGGGTATGTACACGTCTACCACTTTGGTAAAGAATACACCGCGGATATGGTACTGACAAATCTAGAACCATAGTAAGATCCTGCTGATATATAACCTCGACACACCATCTCATGACACCTTATGGGCATATTGAACTTGTGCCTGCACGTGTCTGTTTGTTGTTTAACGCCACACTAAGCAGTATTGCAGCTAAATGATGGCAGTCAGTAAATAATCGAGTCCCGATGAGACGGTCTGGTGATTGATATCATGAGCATCAATCTCCCCTACTGGGATACGATGACATGCGTCAACCAAGTCAGTGCGCCTGACCACCCGATCCCGTTAGTTGCCTCTTACGACAAGCATGGGTTGCTGAGGACCAATTCTAACCCGCATCTTTTGGGCAGCCTCCAGTTGTGTCTTAAGGAGTCATGGCGGAGATGTGTCTTCTCCTTTGTACATGGCAGCATCATGTGAAGTTTTTGTAAATTGTCATGATATCGCTATCCTGGTCCTAATGGGTGTGTGACTGAGTTCTATTTCCCCTTGGTATCTACCTGAAGTATGTGAGACGTGCACAGTTTGAACTGTTTGCGGTCCGACAGCACCTGGCCTCATCATGCTCCCGTGGTACCGCTTCCTCTTACAGAGGTAAGCGACGATGACGATGCAGAAGATGATGAAGAGGACACCGACAACAATACCAGCTGTGCTGCCCCCGGTTAACCGAACGCTGACAGCAGATCTGCAGTAAAACAAACATAGCTTACTTACATCCCCTTGTTGAAATGAAATGTACATGTACGGAATATATGATGGATGTCAATAAACATAAACATAATAGTGCAGTATTCGATTTGTGTGGCAGTTGGTCCATTCAGTGTGTATCGATCTGTAACTGAGTGTGTTGTATTATGATGTATACGTGATGCAGATAGAGCATGGGACTGTATAACGTCACATTTATTCATTTATTCCCTGAAATATGTTATTCCATTTAATGATATTTATGTACAAAATTAAAAATAAAATCCAAATGAAGCCCAGAAAAATGTTTAATTTAATCTGTATTGGAGATGGACTATGTACCTTATTCATACCGTATCCACTGATGTAAATGGTACTTTTTGTTCGCTGTGTATTATTAATATTTATTTCATTTAATGTCATTCTTAAGCGTGATATTCCTGATAAAAACAAGTTCATTGTGGATAAATCAATATTGCAAACGAGAGCCACAGTGAACAGCTTCGTGTTTAAAGTTTCGTCAAGCCTGCAGGTATGTATAATCTGAGGGCAAACATGTGCTTTCAATAACCGAATATATCCGGAGTAGTATGACTCCAGTGTGTCCACCCTAATTTGAGTTTACCTGTGATTTTCCAGAGTTAACCTTGTGTCTATCCTGACGCTACCCTGAGATTACCCTGTGTCTACACTGAGATTACCCTGTGTCTACCCTGAGTTTACCTTGTGTCTATCTTGAGTTTATTTTGTGTCTATCCTGACCCTATCCTGAGATTACCCGTGTCTATCCTGAGTTTACCTTGTGTCTATCCTGACCCTACCCTGAGAATACCCGTGTCTATCCTGAGTTTATCTTGTGTCTATCCTGATCCTACCATGAGATAGACACCTATGTCTATCCGGAGTTTACCTTGTGTCTATCCTGACCCTACCCTGAGATTACCCGTGTCTATCCTGAGTTTACCGTGTGTCTATCCTGACCCTACCCTGAGATTACCCGTGTCTATCCTGACACAACCTGAACTTACCCTGTGTTTACCATGTGTTTACCCTGAGATTACCCGTGTCTATCCTGATCTTACCCTGAGATTACCCGTGTCTATCCTGACCTTACCCTGAGATTACCCGTGTCTATCCTGACACTACCTGAACATACCCTGTGTTTACCCTGTGTCTATCTTGACACTACCTGAGTTTACCCTGTGTCTACCCGGTGTTACCTGGAGCAGCAGTATCTGGTACTGGAGGAACCGCAGCATCCATAAGTACAGGTGAAGTAGGTGGTGCTGGAGTAGTAGGAGTAGGTCTTTCTGCTACACAGAACACCCAGCACATCTGGAAGCAGTGGCACATACACATGCATCTGTGTTGTATCTACCTTAACTGTACAGATCATTTAAACGAAGGCAAATGGCCGACAAAATTCAGTCTTTCTGGGATTTGTTGATCAAGGACTTGAAACCAAATCTTCCTAAATGTATGTATATATAATATCAACCAAGAATCGTTTTGTCACCGTAATATAATAGGTAAATAGCTACGACCTGATGGTATTTTCACGCTTCCTTAGCAAATTCAGATCACACACTGGGTAAAGCTGAAATAATGTTTGCAGTAGCGTTGAGACAATTTCTTTAACAATTTATCAGTCCCTGCTGCACGTTTACCATTCCAATTTACTTATAAGTTGGGAATTAATCGATATTACCTTCAGTCGTATTCAGGTGGGGTTTTTTAGCCCAAAATACTTTTATTACAATATGTCAGAATGACCAAATTATCGTCATTTGACTCCAAATGTTAAAATGTATAAAATATATATCAGCTGCAAAATGGAATATCACAATGACACATCAGTAATGTAGGCGCAACACTATGAATATTTCAGCCGTATGTGGCCAGCGACTAATGCTATTCCTGAGTTTGTGCAACATATCCACATTGAACAAAGCAGATATTTGATACACACATAACCCTGGCACTTCCCTTAAATGATGTATTCAGCCGAATCTCTGTGAAACAAATGAACAGTATTTTCCATGAGCTCATGGCGTCTCAAGAACTATCACATTCAAAACTACAGGACCTGAATACTGGGTGTGGTCTACCGTCAAATATGCTTTGAGTACAACCATTTTAGTCATTGGCCTCGAGACGCAGGACCACATACGGCAATATGTATTGAGTGTAATGTAAGTTGTTTTTGAAAATTAGGATATCAAAATACGAAGTAATTCACAGAATGATTTTCAATAACATTTACCTGAAGAAGAGGAATGATGACGTCGATATACACGCGTTTGTCCCCAATTTTTCTTATAATTTATCAGATGTGTCTGTATGGTCAGTTACTTCATACCGTAAACCGTAGAATAGAGAGTAGTATTCATGAACTTTTCACATCTAAAACATTTTGTTATAATCATGTTGATAAAATGAAACTATAACCGACAGATAAGCTTATCTGAAAAGAACATGTGGATAAAATGAACATATAGCCGTCATTAACATTACACAATGTAATAGTCCTGATATTCATCATCACCAATGCTAGTATCAGGTATCACTGGCTACAGTGTGGTGACAGGGTGATATTGATCGACCATCCACCATTTGCATACACGAAGTGTGATGAGAGTTAAGCATTTCATGGCGACTTTCAGAATAGTATGATGCATTTTGAAAGGATAGGTTGACCACGAATTAGGCTGTAGTGAATCCTTACCTGAAACATTGAAAATAAGGAGCAGTAGCGGGTATAAGATGTATTCCATGACTCAGTAAAAATAGGCCTTGTCTTCATCCATGGACTTGTTCTATGTTTGTGTGAACCGCCCGTTGCCATTGGTAAAATCAATACAGGATTAACAGCAATATTGATTGAATGTGATGGTGTGCAAACTGGGATCGGTATATAGTTCATAGTGCATGTGGAGGTAATCTGAGTCCTTAGATTAGTATTTATGATTTAAATGATAATGCCTATACTTTCATTAAAAAAGGTTTAGGACTTTGTTTGAAGCAATTATCTCTATTACAATAGTCCTTCTTTTGTAGTTCTAAACATGTGTGGGGGATGGGGGGTGGGGTTGCCTAGTGGTTAAAGCGTTTGCTCGTCACGCCGAAGACCCACATGGGTAAAATGTGTGAAGCCCATTTCTGGTGTCCCCAATCGTGATATTGCCAAAATATTGCTTAAAGCGGTGTAAAACCATACTCACTCACCCTAAACATGCTCAGCCTATTGTTGGAATGACGTCACATCACACCTTTCGTGACTTCATACACAATGGATGGGGTTTTTGCTACAGAGCCTCTTTGCGAGAAACGGGCAAATAAGAAAAAAGGTACAGTCTTGCAAATCAGGAAACTGTGTGAGAAAATCGTAAAATAATGGTTCCCTGTTTCTTTGCCACTATCGGTAACAGTAGTTTATGTCTAGATTGAGGCTACCAACTGTAGTCCGTGAAGATCCGGGTTAGAACTGTTCTTGAGTATTGTCCTAAGAGGCAACTGACGGGAGCGGGTGGTCAGGCTCGCTGACTTGGCTGACACATGTCACCGTATCCCAACTGGTGATCGATGCTCATGCTGTTGATTAATGGATTGTCTGGTCCAGTCTCGATTATTTACAGACCGAACATCCTGGTTTAAAAGCCAACCAGTTGGGAATAGCAAACTTGGTACCCAAGACTCCACTATGCTTAGATTAGCCGCTCTTCCAAACCCACCAGATAATGCAAACGCTATGAAACACGTGGTACAACCACTGTGAAAGAAGGGTGTTCCAGACCACTAAATTATGCAAAATTATGCAAATTGAAATTGTTAAAACACATACTCACAAATAACTGAAGACCAACCCCACAGTCCAAAACTTGTCCGGTAAACGCAGAGGCCCCGTGTCACTCCAATATTCCTTTTGAACTATGCCTAGCATTTGCATCCTAGGCGTCCAAAGGTAGTCCAGTGTATCAAAAGCTGGATGTTGCAATTGCTTCACAGTTGCAGCACACAATAATTTACCGATAAGATCCACAGCCCAATTTCTGGCTCGATCTACGGTGACGTGTTCACCGTAATTATTCGCAAGCCTGTTGAGTCGGACATAGACTAACAGCTAGTCTCTGAAATGAACACATTTTAAAGGGGTTCATAGTAGAAGAAAATAAAATATAATGAAAAGGAGTCCTGAGACTTTCTTCATTTTCAGAGCTGTTGACTTGTTGCGCAGTGGAAAATAAAACGATTGGGCAGAGCTATGCTAATTAACTTAAATCCTAATCAACTAAAATTTCGAACTTACCTTTTGGCCTAAAACGAGGAACTAAACGTGATAACTATTATAAATGAGAAAACTATGAAATTTACAAAGAACTAAACGTGATTCTCTTAAATGAGTCTAACTGAACTTTGAGATGAAACGAACTGCTAAATACTGCTAAATACCGCTAATTTTGAATCTACATATCTAACATCTGAGTCATTCGTAATTCTAAATAAATGCCAACACACGACATGTAACGATCAGCACCTAATGGCAGAAAGGAGCGAATGCCCCGTGTATCGCTGATCACCGTCTTATATATGCAATGGTACTCGTTTTTCCCGTGCATTTCACCGGGTGTGTTCGGGTGATACGCCTAGTATGCACTGAGTGCGTTTGAGAGAGCAGTTTCAGTGATGAAACCAAAATGCCTTCAGAACATGCCCCCCTCCATGATAGATCCCTGTCTATCATTAAAACTGACTAAATGGGAGAACCAAGCAAAACTATCTATGAGTATGTACATCTTTTGCTGTTACAGGCATCATTTCACCATTTCACCATTAACTCCACTCAAGAGGGCAGACTTTTGTGATAGGCCTTTTCAAGACTGTAGAGCCAACCTGAACATCAAGAACGCGCACGTGACCATCCTTTCCAGGATAGGTCTTCAATACTCTGCCTAAAGGCCAAACTCCACGAGGAGTATCCGAAGACACTACAATCACAACGTCATCCACCTGCAGGTCTCGACATGGTGTTAACCATTTCTTCCTGATGTTGAGAGATGGGAGCCACTCCCTCATCCATCGTTTCCACACGTGTCTAATGAGTTCTTGAACTCTTCTCCATCGCTTCTTAGGGCTGAAGGAGGTAGAGTCCAACTCTGGCGCAAATTCCCCACCTACCTGACCATGTAGGAAATGATTGGGCGTGAGTGGAACATCATCCTGTGGATGTGCGCTTTGATACGTCAAAGGTCTAGAATTCATAAGAGCTTCCACTCCTATGATGGCTGTCATGAGTTCCTCATCACTAACATCCCCTGAACTCAAAATAGCATACATAGCTCTTTTGGCCGACTTCACCAACGACTCAAAGACTCCTCCAAAGTATGGAGCATTTGGGGGATTGAAAATCCAGTTGACACTTTTGTTTGCCAAAGTTGATTTAATCCACGCCTGAATCTAGGCCAGCAACGAGCTGTTTCAGCTCTTTTGCAGCTAGCGAAGTTAGTCCCGTTGTCTGAGATTATTTCCTTTGGCATACCACGTCTGTGCGCCATACGAAACAAGGCATTCAGAAACGAATCCGTGTCTAACCCAAAAGCCATTTCTAAATGTACTGCTCGTGTTGACAGACATGTGAAAAGGCAGAGATAACGTTTTTGTCGACTCTTACCTCGACCTTGTACCGTGTAAAACGGACCTGCATAATCCACACCTGTTGTCACAAATGCTTTCATTGAACATCGTACCCTAACCTTAGGGAGATCTGCCATTATCTGATGTGCTGGTTTGGCTTTTGCCTTTTACACCATGAACACTGTCTTTCCCACTGACGTATTTCCTCTCTAGCTGAAATAATCCAGAATCTAGTGGACAAGGCCGACAACGTACTATTTGTACCCATGTGACTCACCTGCTCATGATAATATTTGACAACCAGTTTGGTGACCCAGGAATGTCTTTGGAGTATAATAGGATGTCTGGCATCAAAAGACAATACATCCGCAAACCTCAGTCTGCCTCCTGCTCTCATTAGCCCATTGTCATCAACAAAGGCTGTAGGCCGACCAACTTACTGTTTGCTGACAACTCTGATTTTCTCATCAGTGAAGAGTAATCATCAGGAAATTCTTCCCTTTGATTTCTTACAAGTATTGCTGTTTCTGCGTCCTCAATGTCCTCCGCATCCAGTTCACCCTTCTTTCTAAGTGAACATGGAGCTCTAGCATTGTTAAGAAACCTATAGACCCAAGCATACACTCTGCAGAGTCTCTTCCAGCTAGAATATCTATTTGGTTCTAACCTATCAGTGTTTGAGTCAGATTTAGTAAACATGACTACGTTTACTTGAGAAGGCCTTTTTAGTTCTGGATTCTCACAGTTGTCAAAGGCAACTGTCTGTTTTGGCCACTCATCTTCATCACGAGTCAGAAATGTAGGACCATGCAGCCATTTGTCAGTGGAAAGGGTTTCAACATCTGCACCTCTACTAAGAATGTCTGCAACATTTTGCTTGGAAGGGACGTATTTCCATTGACTGATGTTTGTATGTTCCTGTATGTATGCAATCCTGTTTGCTACAAATGGTTTAAAACATCTACTTTGTCTTCTAATCCACCAAAGGACGTTCTGACTGTCAGACCACAATGTTACACATTGTAGAGGCAACTCTAATGCTTTTGCTACTGCAAGAATCAGTCTAACCCCAAGAACAGCAGCGAGAAGCTCTAACCGTGGCATACTAACTGCTTTGAGAGGGGCTACACGACACTTTGAAGCTACCAGATGACTAGTCCTTTGACAATCCCCTTGAGTTGTAACTGAGAAAACTACAGCTCCAAACGCTACTTCTGAAGCATCTACAAATGTGTGCAACTTCATTCTGGAAGTATCTAAGTTGATCTTGAGTCCCCTTGGAACTCTAAGCGAGCACAAACTTTCAACCTCGTGGTACCAAGTCCATGCTTTTTGTTCCAGATCTGGACTAACAGTGTCATCCCAGTTTACACCCGATAGCCACATCTCTTGCAGGATAACTCTAGCTCTTATGGTGAATGGACCTAGGAACCCTAGAGGATCAAACAACCTAGCAGTTTCTTTCAAGAAGTTCCTCTTAGTCATCTTGATATCCTGCCTAGACGACATGAATGAGAACCTAAACTCATCTGAGTCAGCACTCCATAGTAAGCCCAATGCTTTTACAGATGGCAATTCACTCATTTGAATGTTTATCTCCTTTAGTCTGTCTACTTCTGGTATTTGTTGGAGAACTGGTATGGAATTAGAGACCCACTTACGAGCATGCATTCCTGCACTACTCCACAGCTGTTGCAGCTGTTTGTAGAGCTCTATAGCTTTGCTGTCTGTCTCTACAGAATCAATGTTGTCATCCATGTAGGTTGACTTTTCTATTGTAGCTGCAGCTAATGGAAGTTCTTTCTCAAGTGATTTCGCATGTTCCTGAGTGATGTACTGAGCTAAAATGGAGAACAATTTAGTCCAAATACAACCTTTGAGAACTCAAACACATCTGGCTTTTGTTTTGATCCATCGATCTCCAAAGAAACCTTAGATATGTACGGTCATCCTGAGCAAGTTCAATTTGGAGGTACATTTCAGCAACATCACAAATGATTGCAACAGGGTGTTTCGAAACCGCAGCAAGATCTCAAACAGATCATTCTGTAGTTTAGGGCCTTGATGAATAACATCATTCAAGGATATGCCTTTATTCCTTGCCGAAGCATCAAATACTATTCTTACCTTTGTTGTAGTTCTGTCAGGTTTAATTACCGGAAAATGGGGCAAGAACCATTTACTTTGACCTATTTCAGTTTCAG